GGATAGCTCAGTAGGTAAGGTGGTGGCCCCATGATCGGAAGGTAGGGGGTTTAAAACTCTACCCTGAGGTACCCCTGAGTAAGGTACTGCCCAGGGAGCAGTGTGTAGGGACGGTAATACAAGCACACTCAGTGAATGAATGAATTACTCATTCACTGAGTGAATGGGTTAAAAGCAGATCAATAAAGTATACATTATTATTCAAAATATTGAGTCCATGAACCAGTGGTCCTACAGCCATCCGAAAAAAATAAGCTTCAGATAACTGTTTACAGAGGTCATCTTTCCTGTGTCCACTTACCAAACACTGAAATCTTCTTCTCAGTGTATTTCTCCACATTTCTCACTTCCACTCTGCAGTCAAATGTAAGCGCTTCAGAGGCCTTTGGTGCTGCAACCATGTTGTGGTTTATTGTAGAGTTGCCAGTCCTGAGAAGCTTGGTGCCCTGGCTCAGGAATAGCTTGTAACCTTCAGAGCTGGAGTGAAAGTTTTGGGCACTACACGAGATGTTGAGGTGGTCTCCTTCATAGATTGTGGAGTTAGGGGAAATCTTCAGTGCTGGTGTAATAGAAAGCTCTGTGGAGACAAAATAAATGAAGCACTGAGGTGAGACCAGTGCTTTGAAAAAGCAGCACAGTTTCAAAATGCTACTGACCTTTGACTGAAACAGTGACGTTGTTGCTTTTTGTTGAAGGGAAGGTGTCCTCTGCTGTGCGGATCTTGTAGGAGCAGTGAATTTTGTGGATGCCAGCACTGCTTAACCTGAAAGCGGTCTTTACTTGGTTGGAGAGTCCTTCCACCCTGCTTATCTGTTCATCATTATCGAAGAAGAAGAAGATGAAGCTCCCTATCTCACCCGGAGCTATACAGGTGGCTCGTACCTCCTCCCCTTCATTAACAACGTTCATCTTAAGATGGAGAACTGGCTGCGAGAGTCCTGGAAACATAAACAGACATGTTTATGTTTCTCCCACATGTACTTGGTATTGCATTCAAACACATCCACAGTGTCACACGAAGGTTAAAATGATTTTTGATCATAATCTGATCTTGTTTTGTGCTTTTCTCTCTATCCTCTCCTTTCTTCTCTTTTCCAGCCAATCGCAGCAGATGGCTGCCCGTCCCTGGCTGCGATTCTGTTGGAGATCTCTACCTGTTAAGAGAATTCTTCCACCTCAGTCTGGCCAATTTTGAGGATTTCTTCTCCAAGATTTTGGGTGCTTTCCCTTGGTGGGTGTACTGATTAGGTAACTTCTCCGGTGTCAAATTTGAGGTTAGTCTCTTTATGGAGATAGTTTTGCTGTATTGTGACCAATAATATAACAGAGATGTCAGAACTGGACAGAATTACCCCAGCAGTGATGTCACTAACAACGTCATAACTTGTGCTTTTGGATTGTTGTGCACCTGACAATTATTGTCAAAGCTTGCAAAGTTGCTTGAAGACGTTTCACCTCTCATCCGAGAAGCTTCTTCAGTTCTAAGGTCACGTCGGATGAGAGGTGAAACGTCTTCAAGCAACTTAAAGAAGTCCAGACGCTTTTCTTTGCAAGCTCCTTTGACTGTTGTGCAGGACTGCTGGTACGGTCCACCAGATGGAAAGGCACTAGTGCACGTGTCGAACTCCAGGCCTCGAGGGCCGGTGTCCTGCAGGTTTTAGATGTGTCCTTGATCCAACACAGCTGATTTAAATGGCTAAATGACCTCCTCAACATGTCTTGAAGTTCTCCAGAGGCCTGGTAATTAGCTAATTATTTTATTCAGGTGTGTTGACCCAGGGTGAGATCTAAAACCTGCAGGACACCGGCCCTCGAGGCCTGGAGTCCGACACCCCTGCACGAGTGGGTCAGTTTTTAAAGCTTTAAGTACCAGCATAAATGGACGTCACATTTCTTGTAAACAATGACCAATAGGTCCCCAATAACTGCGGCTTCAGGCTTCTGCTCTCCACACTAAAAGCACATATATATATGTATAATTTAAGATGATGTCAGGGCTGTTGGCGCATAGTTCTGAGCTTGATGTGAACTTCCCACGGCTGACCAGTGTGTAGGGAGAATATTGCAAGCAAGTGTCATAAAACAGAAAGAAAATGCAAAATGTGTAAAAACTAAACTCTGAGATCTCAACTGCTTTCCCAACAACATCTATTTCTTTCATAAATTCATAAGTACATCCTTATGAATTCAAAAACTCGGTCATAATCTGAATATGATCACATTCAAATGGACCTGAACTGGAACCCTTAATACTGCAGCTTTGCATGAAAACAAACCCACCTTGTACGTTGAGTCTTTGCGCTTTGCTCAACTTGGTGTCGCCTTGGATGTCTAGCTTGCACTGATACAAGCCTGTGCTGAAGACTCTGGCATTGTGCAGCTGGTACACGAAGTCCTCAGAGGAGCCAATGGTCTTGGTGTACACTATCTTGTCATTCTTCAATATGGTGTACTCACGAATCAGCCCCTTGCCAGTACTCGTGCTCACTGTGGCATGGCATCTAAGAGTCACATTGGTCCCCGCAGTCACATCGTTCCTGGGCTCAGTGATTAGCTCGACACTTTGAATTTTGAATTCTATGAAATGAGATTTAACAAAATCAGTTAGAACTCATTTATCCAACCATATATCCTCAGCCTAAAACTTTTAACCTCAAACCATTTTTATATTAATTTTACTTTACTTTGAGAGTTCAGCCATGTTGAAGTGTACGATGCAGTCCACTCTTCTTATTTTCTGTCACATATATGTTGTGATGTAAGCTCATATTAAACACCAAAGTTCCAGATAATGAGCTTAGAGTATGAGCCAAAACTCAGGCTTCAGACAGTTTGTTCTACTATAAAGAACTCTGAATTGAATTGACTTTAATTAAGTAAATTCTACATATTACTTTATGAAGAACGTTATGTTACAGTTCACTACTATTTAGTTTTACAATATTTATGTTTTTCCTCAATGTATCTATCCCAAGCACATCATAGTATAGATATGCTTGGTGGATTTCTTGCTTTGCGCAGTTATACACTGTTATGTTTGTTTTGACTCAGGAGTGAGAGATTGTTAGTGTTTAGAACTCCCTGTGAAAACAAAACGTTTGATTATGTATTTGTTTTTTAGAAAAGGAGCAATTTTTTCTAAAAGGAGCTGAAATTTACAGGAGCTGTTAAGGAGAAATATTAAGCTTTAACCAAAGATACTCAGCTTGCTTTGCCATTTTTACAAAAATGAGAGAAGTACAGCTAATAAACAGCAATTATGATCATATAGAAGAAACAGTAAAAGGTCCAGAATTTATCATTCTTTGAAAATATTTTGAAAATCCTGAATTAGCATTGATATGAACAATATTAACTCAGGATTCCTCCTTATATGATAGATAAATTGTATATTCCACTGCATCGAACAACTGCATCTTAGTTTTTTTATAAAAAAGCTCACAGGAGCTTCCGAAACACGAATATTTGTTAGTTTTCTGTGATAACAAACTAAACACTGATCATGAGTTTGTGTTTGTTAGACATGCAGTGAAGCTGTGAGACATTAACGTGGACTTTGGGGGAATAATGACAGGTCTGTGTTAGTAACATATCACATTTTAATCACAACACAACTGACTAATGTTGAAGAAAATAGTTGAAGCAAAACAATCCTCTCCCCAGGGCTTCTGTGCAGTAGGTGCTTGATTTTTTACAAATGGGTTCATATTAAACTGAAACAATTCAGGTGGAGGGTGAAGCTCCAGAAACATTTGTAGCACATGTATTTCAGCTAATGGGCTTCATCAGGGTTACGATTATACTTAGGTGTCCCTGAAGGCACCATGGCAACACTTGGCTGAGGTAGCCAGAACATTTAGTCCACTTGTTCCAGGGAAGAAAAAGGAAATGAGTCAGTCTATTTGTCTTCTTGGTTGATTTAATCTATCATGATTCACAAGTTCATCATTCATCACTGCGTCCTTTACTTTCATGCCACAGCCTAAGAACCGAGCAGTGATAAGTTGGGGGCTCGTCCGGGATGAGCTGCAAAAAATCAAACTCTGCTTCTGGTTTCATTTGCTTTAAATTTTACAAACAAGAATGACAAACCTTTAAGCCTCTTTGTCCAGCTTCTGAGTCACAGTTTAATCACTTCCTATTTAAAATGGCACTCCCTAGAGGTCATTTTGGTTACATATTTTCAACAACTACAACAAAAACATCTTTAACAGCTGTCACAGTATTGAGTTTGGTGCTCAGGAAGCTGATGTTTTTCTGTGGAATGCCATCATACTGGTAGCTATGACCTGGCTGGATGTGAGACTCATACAAGAGACAATACAAAATACAAACAATTCATATTGTATGAGTGTAAAATTCTTGGGTGAAAAAACAAAGGTAGGTGACTCCTCCTCCCCATTTTTTACTCACAAAACTGATAAGAATCACTTTATAAACACTACAGGATCATACGTGTGCATTTTTGTATTTGCTTCTTTATTTCTGTCCTTGTGAATCACTCATTTTCTTTTTTTTTTGTTTAATTTTGTGTGTGTAATCACAGTTTTCCTTCAGTGATGCTTTTTAATTCTCAGACCCTTTTTTTCTGGTTTAATTACATCTGCCATCGTTTACACGGCAGCATGGGAAAGCTTTGATAATCACCGGAGTTAGTCCCAAAGCCACGACTCAGTTATGTTTCACAGGTAAAAACTAATGAGTCATTCTCAGGACACAGGTGTTCATGTTCACAAATCTTTAGGGACAACACTTTGCATTCTAGTCTCATCTGCAACCGGAGAGGAAAATACTTTTAAATTAACAACTGTGAGGGGTTTTTTCTGCAGGTAATGAGAAACAAAAAGCATCTGCACAGGTATGTTGAAGTCTCCCCACTAGATCACCATATGGTCAAGTATTAGAGACAACAGGCTGCTGCTGTGACTCAGAGTGTGTTGTTTAGAGGAAGTAAACAAACCCTGAGAAGGCAGGAAAAGCACTTTGTTAGACAAACAGCTACTCGGGGGACCTTTCACCATTTCAGGGTGTGATGAATCTGGAGCATGCCCAGCATCAGTCAACAGGACTGGCAGAGCTGGTGATGAGAAAAAAGCATGCATGCAGGGCAGAGATTTGCTGCTGGTGCTCCATACAGATAGTGAGTCACAATACTGACATACTGAGTTGGATATAACATCCTGCAGTACTAATTTTTCTTATATTTTACTACATAGAAAATAAAGAAATACTGTATGTTTTAATCCACAAAATATCTAAAAATTGTAATTCAGTTTTATTTAAATAGTCTGGTTCAAAACAACAGTTTTCGCTTTATGATGTCGTACCTGTTCAGTGGGAAGGAAGAACATAAAATGAAGATCTAACACATTTTGGGGTCAGCTTGAAAGAAAGGCAGGTGGGAGATCTGAGATCAAACGTGACATAATTGGATCCAAACTATAATGTGATATTTAAAACACCGGTATCATTTCCTAAATGTTGCCAATGGAAACAAAGGCAACAACATTTCAAGCAAAGTTTTAAAGATAAAGGACTTTTAATGAAAGGTTATTTGACCTTAAAGAGGAGGAATCAGGTCCAGCTGAGGATAAGAGGCGATATTTAGAATATAAATATAATTTAAATATAATATTATATATTGTATATGTTGTCAATACAAATAATGGAGACATACTTTTAAATCTCTCTGTAAAGCATTATTATCACTTTGACCTAAAGACCAGTCTATTGCCTTTGAAGGAGAGGTCAGAGGTCAAATGTGACATGATATTTTAAATCTATATATTTATATTATAAATCTGTATATGGTACTTTCTACATGTTGACAATACATACCACACTTTTAAGATTCACAGTTTCTAAGTTATAAGGCTTTTGGGCGAAGGACAACATGAGTAAAAGGATAAAAGAATAATTGAGTAATCAAAGTATTTGAATATGAGTATTGAAAAATATTAGAAGAGGAGAGCAAAAAAAAAAATGAACCCTTCAGCTGATTTATTTTGTATAAAACATAATGTGCCGTATGGCAAGCAGTACATTTGAAAATGGATTGAATGGCTTTGTGAATATTGAGGCGAAATTATCTTTGCAGAAACATTAAAAGACATAAAATGCAAAATGATGTAAAAACTGTTTTTCTCCCTTTGCGTGTAGGAAAACAGACACACAGCCAGAAGCTCCTAAATGAGCTTTTTTCACTGGAAAGTGCAAAATACTGTGTACATGTAAATCTGGAGATGAAAAGACTGAGATGTATTTAAAAAAAACTGCACATGATAAGATGTATTTATTGTGTTTATTGTGTATTATGTATTTATTAGTACTGTATGTATTTATTTCCTACAATGTGTCTCGCCTGTACACCCAGCTGTGTGTGAAATTTGCTAAAAATGTTCTTTAAATAAAAAAAAACCTTTTATGTCTTTATCTCAGTACTTTACTGTACGGCTAAAAAATTTTATATCCTATTATTATTATTATTATTATCATCATCATTATTATTCATTTAAGAGTGTAGTGTGTCTTGGCTATTGTCTTGTTAAATTATTTACCTCTCCTGATCTTTAACCTCCTAGGACCTTTCGTCCACATATGTGGACGTCACATTTTGGGTTATTTAGACCAAAATACTAAATTTTGCTCTACGCGGGCCTGATATCCACTCACGAGGACATTATACTGCCTCTGTTTCATCAAAATTTAAAACGAATATCCTCATACGTGGCTCTTTTCTTAGGAACAAAAATCGGGTAAAAAAATAATAAATCTGGTGATTCTTTGTTTTTACATTCATCGGGTCCCAATCAGCCCAAATATCAAAGACAAATTAAAAATGCATGCCGTGGAAGAGTTCAGGTCTTAGGAGGTTAAAACACTTTCATCTGGCACAATCTGGAAAGAAGCTAATAAAACTGAACTGGTGGTTATTTGTGTGTTTCTACTCATATTGAGGACTTTAACACTATAAGACATTTAAATCTACACACTCTAGGTGGTTCTTATCGACCACACGAACACTCACATCAATGGATTCATCAGACGCGATTCGAGGTTCAGCTTTTTTGTCCAGAACTTTTCCACAAACACACCTAAGAAATGACCCAAAATTCCCAACAACTACAAAAACTACACCTAATTCAGAAAAATACATCAAACACATCCACAAAGCCACTTAAATCTGGGTTTTACTTCCAGTTTGGACCTGCCGATAACACACGCCTTGCGTCAGACGTGAATCTGTACAGCTGCACAGCTGATCCAAAGTGACTCATGCCTTCCATCACAAACCAACTTCAGAGTACAGGGAGGTGTGTGACAACGCTCGCCAACATGTTCCCAACGCTTTGTGTCGCAACTTTTCCACCATGAGAGACCAGAAAGCTCTGATAACAACTCAGACTGTTTCCACAGTCTTAGTGGAAGATAGATGATTGACGCCAACCCAGTAAATGGAAAGTCAACAATAAGCTCAATGAAAACAGGCTCTTTCTGAGAGCCAGTTCAGCTCTTGTGTTTCCTGCAGATCAAGTCTAAGCATGGACTCACATCTCTCATTTAGCTTAAATGGTACTCACCCTGCTGTGTGTTCACCA